CAATACTACAGCGAGAATAAAAGTTACGCCTTCTTTCTTTGCGTGAACATTTGGGCGGCATTATGCAAATCTTCCCAGATAGTGACGTAGGTATGTGGGGGCGTGTTAGAACGAGCCGTTTTAGGTAGGTGTGGCTGACTCTTAACTTTTATAAAGAATATCTCTTTGGATTTGAGACTTTAGTCTTTGCAACTTTACAGATCTTCTTTATGCACCAAGAGCTTGTATCACTCCAAAGAGAAAGGAAAAATTGAAATCGCATCATATGACCCCTTTAAGACTTACAGCTCACTTACAGTAGAAATAAAAAAGTTGTGTCCACATGTCCCCTAAAACATAATTATATCTTCATCTAAAATTAAATAAAATCCTTATGGGAATATTTATTGGACTTTTAATAGTTAACGGAATAGACCAGATGGGATGTGTTAAGAAAATATCGAGAAAAGGGAAGAGGTGTGAACAGAAAATGATGGAAGACAGATTTGAACTCAAATTGCACACACATAAGGACCACCGTGTAACGTATCTAAGCATATGCCATATGCACCACAATGCTAGACCATGATTTTGTCATTTTTAACATAGTCATATGTGCACATATGTGTCTTTGATGATGTGCCGACACCTGTATGCATTTATATACATTGCGCGTACATTGTTAGGATCTCTGTGTGTGCATGCGTGAGAGCATCTGTTGTGTTGTGTGTGTACTGTATAGCTATCTCTTGACCCCTGGCTGTCACGTGCGATTGGACTGAGGCCCTGATATATTCCTGGAAAGCCCTGTCATTGCTCCAGGCTAACCACCTCCATATGGGGCCATGGTCTGTTACCGTAACACGGTCCCCATGTTACCGTAAAAATCACTACAGACATTAATCAATTACCCTAATCCCTCTCTCTTTACTTTTATTGTCCCGTGGATGGAACCCAGTAGGAGTTTAAGTGCTAGAGAAGGCTTTTGGTCTGTCCAAAAGAGAAAACAACTTGGAAGAATGCCTGGAAGTCATTTAAAACAGCTGACAAATCTTCAGTGACTGATGATGTCCATAAATGTAATCAAGATATCAAGCACATTGCCTGTTGTTTGTATGTGAAGTGAATGTGAATAGCAGACATTATTGTGGAATATGGGAAATGAGAACATATTTGATGCAGGGTCTTCAAACTTGTGAACCGACATTGTTTTTACAAAGGATGTGAGTGACATGTCTTAACAAGACAGAATTAAATCACCTCCATTCTGCTTAACCAGGGTGTGCCATTAGGAGTGCTGATTGAGGTGCATTGTTATGCTGTGTTTATATTTTTGACATGTCTTACTTTTTTTTGTCAGAGCTGTGGTGCAAACCATCATTTTTCTCTCTTCCATGGAAAACAAAAGTAGAAAATCCTAAAGAATATTATAGTGACCACTGTCTTGCTCCAAAAACCACAAAAAGACCATAAAAGTGTCAGGGTTCTGTAACTTCGGTCTAGTGTTATTCATGATTTGGTGACAGAGCCCTGACACTCCCGTCATGTCCTGTTTTTGTGTGAGTGCGTGGCTTTGAGTATTCTTGAGCCGTGCACTCTCATCTGCGTGCCCTGTTTCCTTACAAACATAACCTCGGTTCCCTGAGATACGGGAACGAGTACTGCGTCTGCTAAGACACTATGGGGAAAACTTTTTTCTCCGATGACTGAAGCTTTTTCAATAATGCAGTGTAACTGCACGGCCATTGGTTCGTGCAGTAAATTAAAAACGAACCAATGGCTCGGCAGCAGAGCTGTCGATATATGGGCGGGGCCATCTGGCTATATAAACGGGCATGTCGCCATAGGATTCTCAGGTTACTTTGACTGAAGCGACAATTGAGTCGTGCAGCTGTATAGCACGGCTAAGTATGCAGTACTCGTTCCCGTATCTCAGGGAACCGAGGTTACGTCTGTAACCGAGTAGGTTCCCTTTCGATACTTCACTCGTACTGCGTCTGCTAAGACGCTATGGGGAACCAGTACAATCTCGCCGTACTATACTTAGAGGAATGACTTATACTTGCCTTAAGCACCACAAGGGGCTCAGAAGAACAAGTGATTTTGCAGGGAAACCCTGCAGGAGGTACTAGGGTTAAACTCATAGAGGTCAGCCCAGCCATAAGTAAACGTTCCAGGAATAAAACATAGAGCTTCGGCACTCCACGAGGGCCAAGAGCACAGGTAGGCAGAGCCTAAGACTTGTTCTGCCCTGAGGAAAGACTGAGCCCATTAAGCAGAAAGGACCCGGCCCTGCAAGGCCGGGACATCCAGATTATAGAACCTGGCGAATGTGGATGGCAAGGCCGAGATTTCTGCAATGGACACACCACTAGACCAAGCCCAAGACGAGGCCATGTCTCTAGTCGAATGGGATCTTAC